CATCGGGAAAAGATTTGATAGAGATATGTAAATAATGCATCAAAACTTGTTTGAACAATCATGGAAACAAAATATTTTTCTCTTGTGTTTTATTTCTTTAAAGAGGGAGTAAGGCTAGGGTATTCTTCCTGCATATACTCTCGCTATATTATACCCATTATATACTTGTTTATTCATTATATACTTGTTTATTAATTGTATACTTGTTTATCCAATATATACTTGCTTCACAACAATAACCCTCCTTTTTTGTTCGAGTACTCTGGTGATTGTATTTCTCGTGTTTGTTTATGGTCTTGTATGGTTTTGTGGTGCATGTGGTGTCTAACTACTGGTGTTTTTTCTACTCTTCTTCTTTTTGGTGGAATGGGAAGGCAATGTATTTTAAGGATCGGAGAAAGACTCGTGCACCCGTTGGCCTGCTTCGCCGTGCCTTCCTTCTCGTTGTCCTACTAGCGTGTGTAGCTGTTATCTATGTTGTTTTCATGACTGTTACTCTGCATGATCAGGGGACTGAGGATGGGCATTTTGGTGAGTCCTTTGAGAGAGTGGATGGTCACACAATGACTGAGACCCTCCGCTACATTCCACGCAGTGTTGTGGACACGTGGGCCCAGCGTGAGTACCTTGTGGTGTTTGGCATCCCGTCGGTAGACATTGAGGCACGGCGGAGGCGGCGCTACCTGCAGCGGACCACGTGCTGGCGCTTCCCCGGTGTTGCCACGAAGTCAAACAACTTCACTGGTGAGATGCTGGTGCTGTATGTGCTTGCACGCCACCCGTCTCACGGCTATAACTACTCTGCTGGAGTTCAGGAGGAGGCATCGGAGTGGCATGATCTGCTCACGCTGCCCATACAGGAGGGAAGAGTGACAACAAATAAAGCAGCTGGATGCCAAGGATTTTGGGGCATGGAGGCTGAGGTTGGCATGAGCCGCAAGACGTTCATGTGGTTCCACCATGCCGTCCAACTGTTCCCCAACGCTAGTTATCTGGCAAAGGGCGACGACGATATGTTTTTGCGTGTGCCGCAGTACCTTGCTGACCTGCGCACCCTGCCCCGCCGTGGGCTGTATTGGGGTCTGATGCACTTAGCTCGTATTAATGAGGGCAGTGAGAATGGTACGCGTATGTATCTTTATGCTGCTGGATTTATTGTAACTCTTGCGAGGGATGTTGTGGAACAGGTTGTTTCATACGAACCACTAAAGCGTCTTGTGTTTTATCCTAAGAATGCCACCAGAAGATCGGACTTTTATTCTGTGGGTATGGATCACGAAGATATGATGGTGGGACGTGCACTGTATGAGAAGAATTATTTAGGTATAGTATATGCCCGAGAAAGGGCTTGCCATTTCCATGATGTTCATGTGGGTTTTTGTGTGCGTCCAGTGACGTCCCGGTCTGTGGCGATTCATCACGTGAGGGAGAGTAATTATGCTACTCTGATGGCGCGGTTTGGAAACGATACATCTCCTTCCCCTCGCAACTTCACACGTATCAACCCATATATAATTTACTTCCCTTGTGAGAAGGAAAACATAAGCTTAAGGGTTTAGTTGTGTTTGTTTTTTTGTTTGTTTTTTGTTTGAATTTCATTATTATGTTCCATTTTTTTGTCTAGAAGTTGTCTTTTTTTTTGCATATACTCTTGCTATATTATACCCATTATATACTTGCTTCACAACAATAACCCTCCTTTTTTGTTCGAGTACTCTGGTGATTGTATTTCTCGTGTTTGTTTGTAGCCTTGTATGGTTTTCTGCCGCGTGTTGGATTTTTACTGCCGGTTTTTTTTTTTTCATTTTTCGCCTTCTTTTACTTTGGAATACTGTGGAATTCGATCACTTTTGGGTATCGGAAAAGGGTTCAGGTGCTCGTTGTTGTGTTTCGTTTTTATAAATTTACCTCCTTTTTTTTTTGTTTTTTTTTTTATTTTACTTTTTTTGCTTTTTTTTCTTCTATTTCTTGTATGTATTATTTGTTCTCTCTTGATGCTTTCTTTCTGTCTTTTTCTTTCCATTTTCTCATCCTACGCAGGTTTACTGTTGTGGCTTGTATACTTTGTAAACTTTCCATACCCCTTGTAATACGCGGCTGGGTGGATGTCTTTAACGGGGGCTGAGAGCCATGAAATGACCGGGCGGAGCGGGGCGGTGGACGGAATGCGGCGGGAGTGGAACTTCTCTTTGACCTTCGCCCACCAGGCCGCGCGGGTCGTGATGCAACTCTCACCGCAGTGGGAAAGTACATTCATCGACCCACGCGAGATTGAACAGTTAAACCGTCTAGATCGTGATGTCAAGCACTGTCCAATGATGCCAGCCCTGCGGTACACAGACCTCGCAGCCGTGATGAAGCCAGATAACGAACTATGGACAGAGATTCCAAAGCGGGTATCCGTGTTGTACTCACATATCCCACCTGATATGACGCTCGCCGCATACTGTATAAGGAGTGTACAGCATGTACTCTCTGATTCACACGTGGTCTCTGTTGACGGATCGAATGATCTCACGCATCTCTGTGTTGGCGATAAATTACGATGTCCACACAGGCTTGGTGGTCATCGCAGTTTTCATTTCCGATACCATGTTTCTGTAAAGTCAAAACTTATTAAAGATGTAGTGTATGCAATTGGCACAATTATTCATCAACGGGGATACCTATGTACGGTGCAATGTTCAGAGGAAGAGGAACTTGAAGGGTACATAGTAAATAATTTTTTGCCTCAATACACCAATCCAGACAAGTTTGCTGTTGATCAGGATGTTGCGTATGAAGAGATGACTTCAGCTATCTTAAGGGAACAGCAAGAACTCTTTGGTGAATTGCGATATTTCGATGCAGATGCTGCCGTTGCCTTTTCAATACCAATGCACCCCATGCGTATAAGACCTGATTTTTCACCAACGCAAACGGTTGGAGTAGGCTCTATTGCGTGTATGACATTAGAGCTTGATGTACATCAAAAACTCATTGACGATTTCGCAGAGGCGGATATTACAGGTATGCCAAAGTACAAAATTAATCCGGTAATTCTTTTTCTTGATGTTGAAGATGTAGCCCGTATGGGGTACCCTCGTATTATGTCAATGGAACAATATAGTCAACTCAAGACAAATCGCCTTCTTGATATCTTTGAAGATGCTAAAATTGTTGGAACACCTGTAACAAATTACATGGGTATTCGCACTGGTCGTAGTCGAACTGTAATGTTTACCTATGAGCCATTCAACGCCGTGGTGAAGGCCATGACAGTTTCTTCTATTGTTGGAAGTTTTGGGGTTTCTGCAGTGTTTCTTACAAAACTTGGTGGTGGACTCTTTGATGCTCACTTATACCTTTACCAACAGCTTCTTAAGGGTATCACATTCTCTGAAAAAACCGCTGCGAAAATGTTGTTCAGTCGCTTTAACACTGTAAACGTTCGTCTTGTTGAGCAGAACATACCACGTGTGTATAGTAATGCTCCAGTGGATGAAAGACAGACGATGGAGCAACACTTAAAGTTCTTGCGAGATTCAAGTGATGGTCGTGTGGAGGGGGCAGTCGCAATCCCTGTATTACCTGAAGAAGGAGGGCTTGAGAAGCGACATCATCATCCTCATCATCCTCATCATCGCTCTCATGATCATCAGCACTCACAACGGGAACAAGCAGAGACATCAGGTGAAAATGCTGCACCTCATATTTCACTTGAATCCAGTGGTAGTCAAGCGGGACTTTTACGAAGCAGCGATAGTATACCTGAGAGGAGATTCAGTGATGGACAAGATGATGATTATGAGGAGCTTTCTGTGGAGAGTGATGGCCCATCAAGTTCATGCCTTGATGGATCTTTCCATAGTAATTCAGTTATCAGCGTCACAAGTATTCCCCATTTACAAGATGCGGCACCATACTATTCTGTTGCTGACGATGTCGCTAATGAGACCAGTAATACTAATAATACTAATAATAATAACAATAACAACAATAATGAGGATGAGGCGGAGGAGGATAATGGTTCCCCATTACCACACAACAGCAGCAGTGCCGTCCTAACACCCACCAGTGGCGCTGAAACGACGGCGGATTGGCCCTCCACACCGCCCGTTAACCGCAATATGCCGGATACATCTGCCCCATCTCTCTCTGAAACGGGAGAGACGATGGCGGTGCCCCCAATGGATCGACACTTGGGACCGCGCTGCAGTGTTGTCTCTATCATCACAGGCCGTGCAGAGAGTCTCGCCGCAGATGCTTCTGCCGTCACAATATCTGAACAACAACAGGTGGAGCGGGAGGAGGAGCAGCAGCGACTGTTGCGTGAGGCATTAAAGGAGGAGGAACCGGATGTATACTTTGGTCCATCTCTCTATGATGTGTATGTACGTTCCTGCGACTTGCAGCATTGTCGACCAAATAGTTATTTACTGAAAAAATTACCAACAAATCCACGTTTTACAAATAGTGTACGAGAATTGGACCTTAGCTGCAATTATCTCGGTCGTAGTGGGTTTGTTGCTGTGTTAAACCTTATTGAACATCTCCCGCGTCTTGAGACCCTTTACTTCAATGATATGTCTTTGGATAATGTAGATGCGGAAAATCTATGTGAAGTGCTCGAACGGAATACTACTGTTCGCGCTATTTATTTACGAAACAATAGCAAGATTACACTCCCCTCTACACGATTTTTCACAAGACTATTGCGTGTAAATAAAAGGATTCATATACTGGCACTTGAGGGGACGCGTTTGGGTGATACAGTCATAAAGAAGTTACAAGATGATGCCAAGAAAAATGCTGTGAAAGCTGTAGATGAAGAGGCGTAAAAAAAAAAAAAAAAAAAAAGAAAAAAAAGTATGAAATGACTTTTTCCATTTCACACCCACACATATACACACATACATACATACACTTTCTTTTTCACTCTCTTTCTCTGTGTTTGTGTGTGTGTTTGTGTTTGTGTGTCCACGTAGAGGTGGTTGCGTATTCCCCTTTTTATGGGGGATGAAATCGATGTACAGTGCTTTTGCAATGAAAGAAAGAGCAAAAGTAAAGAAAAAAAAAGAAGAACGAATGGAAGACAGAAAAAAAAAACAAAAAAAAAAAAAAAAAAGAAATAGATGTCTAGGTGAATTCCCCAACTTCTTGATGGAACGTCAATATATTTTTTTCATCTTTTTTTTTTTCTCTTGATTCCTGTATATATTTATTTATTTATATAGAAGGAATCATTTGAATAGGAAAATAAAAGAGCAAAACATAACATTTACAATTCTGCTCATTGGTACTTATTTTTTTTTTTTTTCTTCTTCTTCTTTCAATAACAACAAGAACTAAGCGAGCTGCAGACTGATATACGGAAGAGAAGCGCAGGTACCCCTAGTCAAAAGGAACAGCCTTCTTCTTTTTTTTTCCCCCTCAACGAGTGAAGAAACAAACCAGTAAGAACAAACAAACAAAGAAAAAAGAGTGATAAAGACAAGGTTTCCTCGCGTGTGTGTGTGTGTGTTTGTGTGTATACGATGTATCCAGAGCGCCGCCCGTATGCCTCGGCGGTGACCCATAGTGGTTACTTATCAAGGCCAGTACTTCCACCAGTGGATGCCCTGCGCATTCTAAACAGCACAGTTGGAATGGATGTCCCCCGTTCACTGCGGCAAGAAGCCGCTCTCTCCGCACCACGACCCTTCAGCGCCAGTAAAGCTCTTCCAACACGTGCTATTCAGCTGTGGAAACCACCCACACTGGAGTCTGCCACGCCATTTACTTTTAAAGAGAAGGAATATCATAACTCTCAGCAGATTGCTCTAAATGCACAACTCAATAATGCTATAGAGGAACTCTTTAAGACATGGCATCGCAAGGTTCGTGATTTGCTACTTTACCTTAACGCCTATCCAGCACAATGCGCCACATCCAATACGTTAACCACTGATGCGTTGGAGAATTACTTTCAAGGGTATCGTAGCACCGATGTGCCTCCCATGTCGGAGGAACGATTGGTGCAGGACTTTCATCTCGCCACCACACCCGATTTGCTGCACGCCATTCAGTCAGCCCCAACATTGCAGCGAGATCGTATTCGCCGTACATTGGATACACTTCTGAACGCCCATCACTTCTTGGCTCCACTGGAACACTACGTGGAGGAATTGGAACCACTTGCGGGATTGGCATTACCAGATGAACCTCATGAGGGGAATGACGGTGTGGCTCAAGGCCCTGTGTGGCTGAGCAAAGCAGCCGTTTCTCTACATGAGAAGTTTCACTATGATCCATCAGAGTATACAATGAAGGAGTTGCGAAAGACAGATGCACCTATTGAGAGATTGGAACGACGAGTCTTGGAAACAAAGGAACAAAAAGAACGTGCCATTGATAATGAACTTCCAGGAGATGCGCTACACCATTTGACGACACAAGTGGACCTCAGTAATGATCTTTTGCTTATGAATAAGGCTCGATTAGAGCTTGTACAACTATACTCCAATGATGTAAATGAGCTTAGGTCGCTTGTGGATACTATCATTGATGATGCACGTCGAACTGTTGAATTGCTAAAGGGACGTATTGATCGTGATCTTCCTTTGGTGAAGAAAGATTTGGAAACTCTTCATCAAGACATACAAAATACAGGAGAACACATTAATTACCTGGAGAAGGATGATCATGATGCTAAGATAACTGCCCGTAAGGATTTCCGTAAGATTGAAGATGAAGAAAAAGATCTTTGGGCTTTACTCCTTCAGACGATGCAGAAACTTGTAAACATTTCTAATGAAAAGGATGAATTTGTAAAGAAGCAGATGCGACTCCGTGAACAAAGGGCACGGGATATGGCCTTGGCAAATGAACTCTTAAAGGCACAACAGATGTATTATGATCGCTTACGCAGTTGTGAAGAAAGCCTTTGGCGTTGGTCCGATACAGCTGAAGTATATGATAAGTATGTGGAGGCCTATGTACCAAAACTACTTAAGAAAGTACATGATGTGGAGGAGGCAAGCCAAACACTATACAACCGTGAAGCACAAGATTACGTGCGTCGTTATGAAATGTTTGAATACGCCGTGGAAGAAGGCCGAGCCACACGTCAAGTGCATGTGGATCGATTAAAGACTCATCAACGTTCACTCTTGTTGGATGTGGAGCGGGCTGCGTCTACTCTGGATCCACATCTTGACAAGTACCAGAAGGAAATGAATGAACGACAGGAAGAATTGGATGAGGCCCAGGCGTACATTGGTCTTGTGGAGAGTCTCGAACAAGAACGACGTGGAGAAGTGGAGCCCATCCTCCAACACGTCATTTCATACAATCGCACCATTCAATCCCAACACGCGGAGTTGGAGGGCACGCCAGAGCGACTGCAGTTGCGTGATAAACCCGCCAGCAGCACCAGCACCACTCAAACCGCGGCGGACGTGGAGGCACATGCCTCCGCCTCCGCCACCACCACCGCAGCGATCGCCTCGCCTCTCGTGACGACTGGAGCCCCTAGCTTGGGTGTGGAAGCCACTACTACTACTACTTCCTCAATGATCCCACGCAAACCAGAAGAGGAAAGAACAACACCAACACCAACAACAACAAGACAATTGGCTCGGGGGGCCGATGGAGAGCCGATTGTGGCAATGACGGATGTGCAGGACTCCGTGAGTTTCGCCTCCGCCCCACCGCAAACAGGCGCCCTGCGATTGCGGCAGACGGGAACAACAATGCTGTCGGATAATGTCATGATGGCCACCGTCGCCCACCCACACGTCCAGGCACGCACTGTTGGTATTAATCACGAAGAGGCCTTTGTGGAGAAGTTCAGACGCTTTGCCGAGAATGAACAAAACGCAGTGGAAGGAGCAGCAGCAAAGATACGACAGGAGCGGCAAATGGTGGATAAACTCAGTCTAAAGTATGATAATGCGGATTATCTGAAAATGCTTTTTACCTCTTCAGAAAGGGGCGGCAGGCCACACACAGCGGGACGATAAGTCATTGTAGGGATAATGAGGATAAATAATGAGGGTAATGATAAGAATAAATGATAATGATGATGGATCAATCGAAGCTGGAAATTGCAATAAACATATAAGTGTACCGCGGTGGGAAAGTAGCAATAATAATGTTTGCTATCGAATCCTCTTGATTCACTCTATTTACTAGGGCCTAAAAAGAAAAAAAAAAAGAAGAAGATTGCTTCTTTTTTTTTTCTTTCAGTTCTTTTCTATCTAGGCAAGTTTTTTTTTTTCTCTTTTTCTTGGTATGTTATGGTTGCTGCTTCTACCCCTGTGATGTCTTCTACCTTTTCCCCCTTCCTCTTCCTCGTGTTGTCGTTTTTCACTCACATTGATTCTTCTCTATGTACTACATTCCACTCACACACATGTGTGTATGTGTATGTGTGTGGGAGGGGAGTGGAGGGATTTTGCATGATCTTTCTGCAGTTCACACTACTATACACAATTATCTTCCTTTTTTCTTTTAGCATTCCTGTATGTGTAAGCTCTCAGCACTGTAAGTTTGCAAAAAAAAAAAAAAAAAGAAAACACCAACAAAAAAACAGAGAAAGAACGAAAGAAAACAGTAAAGAAATAACAACTGCAGCAGCAGGATGAGTGGGAGAAGGAAATGACCTCTCTTCCTCTCTGTTTCTCTCTGTCTATATGTATATATTTCTCTAAGAAGGAGATTCGTGAAAGATAATGGGCTACGATATCAAGACACGATAATCCAATTGTGATGGATGAAATAACGAGAATCAGAAAGAAAACAATATAAGAAAAGGAGAAGCTATAGAAGAACGATAGATTAACCCCAGAGGAGAGTGAAAGTTGAAAAATAGGAGAGAAAAGTACGATGAAAAAAAAAAAAAAAACGAACGACGTTTGCGGCAGGAATGAGTAGTAACAAAGAGTGGAAAAAAAAAAAGAAAACCAAAAAAAAAAGAGATACCAATCATGTATCGAATGAAGAAAAAAAAATGAATGGAAGTTAAATTGGAAATAGTTTTATGGTTTGATGTATAGCGATTATCAGAGGATGAGAATAAGGTGGAATTGAGAAAAACCTAATAATTTTTTATTTCTACACTTGCTTCTCACACCTTATTTTTCTTTCTTACTTTTTGTGCTTTTTTTTATTTATTTATTTTTCTTCACCTGATTCCCCATTATAGGGCTCTGTAATGTACTTTCGTGTGAAATCCCCACACTTTTCTGAGGGGATTCTATACATTACCATAATATATATATATATATATATATATATTTACATGTTTATACGTTCCTATGTATGTATATATTCATCGAAGATGAAGTGTTTTTTTTTTTCTTTTCTTTTCGTTTTTGTTTCTTTTTTTTTGCCGTATAGGGCAGTAAGGAAAAAAAAAGAAAAAAAACATCAACAATACTGGAACCGTTGTGTTGATGGAAATGATGATGATGATAAAATACCATTCTTGTTTCTTTTTCCTGTCATCTCTGCATTTTTCCATCTCCTTTTAAAAATAAAATAAGCATATTCTCTCATATCTTGTATGATGTTTGTACACAATTACTGTAAATTGCACACTTTTTCTTCTTATTTGTTTTGCTGTTGTGAAAAACAAACAAAAAAAAAGGAAGTGTTTAGAAGCAAAGAAACCAACCAACCAACAAACACACAAAAAGGTATAGTGCTGAAGAATAGAGGAGATATTCACTCTCTTTCTCTCTCTTCCCCCCTCTCTATTTTCTCTCTCTCTCTCTCTTTATATATATAGATATATATAGATATATATATATAAAGAGAAGGTGGGAGTAGTATTAGATGGAGTTTGAGCAGCTGGAGATTGGAAAGAAATGTCTGACGACGGCTATTTCCCGACAGGATGTGGGTGACTATTACGATCTCCTCCACCCAAATGTATTGCTGGTCTCTCACTTTAAATATCCACCCCCACCGCCCGTAGTTGCAGATACAATTCCACTCCTCGCACGGGCCTTACGACATACGGAGAATACAGAAAAGAATTCATCCAAAACACACAAAACGAAGAGTAGAAGTAAAACAAAAAGTCGAACCACTTCACCAACGCGTCCATTAGCAGCCACAACGGCAAGTACGGCAACAACAATGAACACAAATACCACCCGAACAGGTGCAGTAACGGCAACGGGTATAAGTATGAGAGGACAGGAAAGAGGAGGAGGACGAGGAAAGACAACAACAACAACAACACAACAAAAACAGCAGCAGGAGTCTAATGAAGAGGAAAAGGGGGAATCCTGTGAAGTGGATATTGTGGAAGGTCCACTCTTAACAACCGAGCGATTTTACGCTATTCTACATTGGATGAATAAAGGAAAGTTTATTGCCGAGAGCAGTGTGGAGATGGAAGCACGAAAAGTCATTCTGCAGGATTCCGAAGTATTACCCCCACCACCAGCTCCAAAGAATGAGGCTGAGCGGATTGCACAACTCGGTCGTCAATACACAGATCGCAATCAACGTCTCTCTCGACTTATTGTCACCTTTGGCCGTGAGTTATTACTATTCCGTGATGAATGTTACTTTGAGGATGGTCTTATTGTTACCATTCATCGATTTATGCTCACCACACAGGAGATGCTCGCTCTGGTGGGTCTTGTTGGATATGATCAACAACCGCAAACACAAAAGCGAGTGGCGAGTATGTTAGAAGAAAGACGCCGCTTTTACAACACGGAACGTGCAAATCGCGTAGATGCGACTGCTGAACACGCAACACTGCCGGTGTTAGATTACACCTTCTGTGCAGTTGCGGAACCATTGCAGTTGTTAGTACAAAACCCCACCGCGGGTCGTGCCCACGTCTCTCGCATTCCACAGCCATTGGTAGATCCACACATTGCACAGGGTGTGTTTCTCAATCAACAAAGTGATCCCACACGTGTACAGAAGGACCAACGTGTGATTGTAAAGGCACGGAATAAACAAGGAGAAGAAGAGGTGTATGAGTTTGTAGAGAGCTCCAAGTCAAGATATGGATTTCTCCATGATAGAAGTGGAAATACAGAGAATGCCTTGGAGACACTTGCGAGTAAATTGGAAACTACATACGCCACCACAAGTGTGCGACTCACCGGTTGTGGAATGACATCAACGGAGAAACTCGTCCCTGTACTGCGAAGACTTGTGGTAAATGCGATTATGACAATTCGAGCTTTGGATCTCAGTAATAATAATATCACCACCCTTCCAGATCTCTCTCTCCTCCCACTTCAACGACTGCAATTACATCAGAATCGTATTGCCGATTGGGCACAGATTGAGAATCGTGTGTGTCCACTCCCCATACTCTACGCGGTGACTCTTCACGGTAATCCCATTGCCGAGAATGATCCACACTACTGGCAGTCCGCACTCGCACGATTGATGCGAAACCCACGACGTGCAGTTCCACTCCGACAACTCGACTTTGTGACTCTCACTGGACAGGATTACGGAATGGCCGGTGCGTATGAACTCTTTGAAACGGGAGATCCCAAACTGCTGGAGGCCTCACGGGGAAAACATCCTGGAACGAATGGAAGAGTCTTTTGATGAGAACCTACATATGAATATGTTATTATTATTATAACAATAATAATAATAATAATTATTATTATTATAATTGCTTGTTGATAGTGGTATTGGTATATGGATGACACTTTGTGAGTTCTTCTTCCTGTTGTTTGTTGTGGTGTCTGTCATTTTTTTGGATTGAAATGTAACGTGGCAGTACTGTGATTGTGTATTTGTATCTTTTTATTATGATTATTATAATGATTATTATTATTATTTGGATTCGCTCTTTTCTCACCCAACCACTATTTTTGTGGTTGTTGTGGTGGTGAGAGGAGCCGATGTACAGCAGAGCAACAGAAGTCACAAGAAGAAGAGTAAATGAATTCATGAGTTAAACAAACAAACAAAAAAAGAAAGAAAAATAGAAAAGAAACATATGTTTTCGTGAATGCAGATATTCTTCGTTCTGTTTTTTCTTTTTTTTTTTTCCTCTTTGCTCTTCTTCTTTCTTCTTGTTTCTTTCTTTTCCTTATTGCATCTCTATTCTGTTTACTCTCCCTTGTTTTTTTTTCTTGCTGTTTATGTGGATATAAAGAATGAATGATGTATACTTCCACTTTGCTTTCAGTTCTGTTTTTTTTTCCCTTTTATTTCTCTCTCTTCTCTCTCTCTCTATATATATATATATACTAAACTACGGTGACCTCTCTCCTACTCTTTGTTAGGTTTCTCCAAAAGAATAGCATTAAGAATAGAGAAAAAAAAGAAAAAAAAAAAATACACTTGTACCCTATAAAGAGCGAGATTGATCCCATAGCTTGACCAATTCTTCAAAAAAAAAAAAAGAAAAAAAAAAGAACAACAACAATAAGACGAGACAAGAAGAAACGAAAGAAAGAGAGAAAAAGAAAGGGAAAAAAACAAAACAAAACAAAACAAACAAACTAAAAATAAACAAGAGGAATTAATTTATTAGGAGAAAACAACTATTAACGTGTTCATAGACATTCACGAGTTTTTCATGTCTTCTTCCTCATTTCCATCTGTGGTGACATCTGTGGAGGCGTATGTGAAGACGCTGCTGCACTGTCAGAAGTATCCCACACAAACCGTCTCTGGCTTTCTCATTGGGAAGCGCATTACAGATAGCAGCAACAACACCAGCACTACTAACAATAACAGCAACAGTGTAAGCAATAATAATAATAATAATATTAATAATAATAATAATAATAATAATAATAACAGCAGCAATAATATAAGTACTAATAATATTAACAGCAGTAGCAATGATGCTGCTGCCCCTGCTACCGACAGTGTCTTTGTTGTGGATGCCGTCCCGCTATTCCACACGATTGCAATGACGAACCCACATCCGATGTTTGATGTCGCCTACGCGCAGGTCTCCAGTTACGCCCGCACCAAGGGACTCGTGCTGCTGGGTTATTATATTGCCAACGAACTCCCCGGCGACAGTCGTCTCTCGCCACTCACAGAGAAGATTCTCCGCACGCTGCAGGAGAAGGTCTCTGTGGGCCACTACCCGCTCCTCTGGACAATTGTCGGCTCACACCCCACCGCAGGCGTGGATGTGCGGGTCTCGTACTACGCAAAGGGCAGCGAACACGCACCGGCGTCGATGTTAACATTTGGGCGGTGGAACTCCGACACACTTTCATGCGAGGCAACAGAGAGTTCAACGGCAGCACTGGAAGTGTTTGGAAATGCCATGGATGCCTTTAAACAGTTTCAACTGATTGACTTTGAGGATCATCTGGAGAATGTGCAGCTGAACTACTTGGAACAGGCGGTGCCAGTGTAGATGACACAACTGCTTTTCTTCTTCTTCTCACTGTGTGCATATATATATATATATATATATATATATATAATGATAATGCATATAATGATGATGATGATGATAGTATTAGTGGTGATAATGATGGTAGTGGTGATGTTTTTTTTCTTCTATCGTGGTAGAAGGTTGGAAAAAGGATTAATATATACATGGATGCCTTTTTCTCTTTATATATTTATGTGCGTTTTCCTTGTTTCCTTTCACGGTTGTATGTCTATCTCTGCTGCACTTTTTCCCTCTGCAGATTTATCCAACAACAATAGCAGCAAGAGAAAGAAAAACATGAGAAAAAGAAACAAAAAACAAAAAAAAACAGAAAACAAAAACGCAGATCTCTTCATATTTTTTTTTTCGTTGAAACGAATGTTCTCTCATCTCTTTTTCCATTTTTGCTCCCCCCTCCTCTCTCTCTCTCTCTCTCCTTTTTTTTTCTTTTTTTTTCTTTCTGTTAATATGCTTTATTTTCTACTGAGTCTCATATGTTGTTTTTTTTTTTTCTTTTTTTTTCCGTTTCTTCACAGATTTAGTATATATATATATATATATATATATATATATATATATATATATATATATGGATGTTTGGAAAGGCAAATAATATGAACATAGAAAATAGTTAGGTATTATGTTAAACGCGTACGAGGGTCATCGTCAGAAGTCTCGTTTTATTCTGTGGGATTTTTCTGAAACAACACCCTTGGAGATACATTTAAGTAAATGATAATTTCATGATATTTCTTTTCTTGATTTTTTTCATTTTCTTTTGAATCCATTTATATTTTGTATATATAAATATATACAACTATATATGTATCCATGTGTATATATATATATAAATATATGTATTTGCACAAACATACAGGCCTGCATGCAGAAAACGTTCCTTTTCTCTCTCTTTCTTTCTCTCTCTCTCTTTGTATGCGTATACATATATATATACTTTCTTTTTTGTTTCTCAGTGTGAGAGGCAACTATATTGCCCTGATCTATACAGAGAATTATTACCGTTTGCTATTTTGTTCAGCTACTACACCCACTATTATTATTATTATTATTATTATTATTATTATTATTATTATTTATTAATTATACGTGGGATAGAGCATCCATGCAGATTTTCGACGATACAGTGCCGTTCGAACCACAATCCCAACTACAATATGAAGAAGAAGAAGGGGAGGATTCCCTCTGGATGGAAATGAATGAGAGTGAAATGCGGGAGTTGGAGGAACGCGCCAGGCGTAAAGTCCGTCGAAATGCCGTTGTGAGTGAAACTGTTCCTTACAAACACACATGCCACCCATATCCACACCCAAAGACAAGAGAAGAACGTGCAATGCTTATGCACATGTTGAATTGTCTTCCATTCTTCACACATCTGCCGGAGTATCGACTGCACATGATTGTAGATGCCTTTGAACGGTGTGTAGTGGCCCCTGGAAAGGCCATAAGATCTGTAAAAGATGATATCAATAATGAGTTTTGTTGGATTGAACGGGGGACGGTTATTTCTAATGGTTGTTCGCCTTCTTGTCCGTGTTGTTATGATCTTAACAAGGATGATAATGACGATGATGATGATGATGGTATTCGAACAGCACCTAAACCGTGTAGTCCAGCCAAGAGTATGGACGAAATGATGGATGAGGGGATATTGATTCCTTTAACTCCTCCCAATCACGAAGGAGAGGTTTTTTCTAATAATGAGAATGATATGAATAATAATAATAATAGTAATAGTAATAATAGGGATCTTGTTGTAGTGAAGGAAGACTCTCTTTTTTGGCATGCGGGGGAGTTCTTTTGTCCAGAGCAATTACTGTATATGTACAATCCCCGTGTGGATCATGATATGATACGATGCGCAGCGCCTTCTGTTATTCCCGCAACTAAAAGTATATTATCTGGTCATTCTCAACACTGTAGAAGTGTTATTTTATGGAAAATCAATCGTATTGTATTAAAAACTATTCTCATGATGGATGCTCTGCGGCGGGAACAGAAATTATTGACTCTTCTTAATAGTAACACTTTCTTATTTGCTTTACCAAAGCGGGATAAACTACAAATAGCAGATGCATTGATAATGGAAACACATCCACCGGGAACGTGTCTATTGCAGGAAGGCACCATACCTGATAGTGTACTCTTCATCGATACAGGAATTGTAGAGGTTACACGGAAAGGAGAGAAGAGCATCACAGCACACTCTCGCTTTCTCGGTCGTAAAGCCTGCATTGGTGTGGCTGTATTAGAGAGAAGTAGTGGAGATAATAATAATAATAATAATAATAATAATAATAATAATAATAGTAATACAGAGAAATCTCTCTTTACTTATACCACATACTCTCACACCACATGTTATCGTTTACGGTATTGTGATATGAAACGTATTCTCAGTCCATCTGTACTGCGTTCACTTGCAAATGTACGCCGTCGCTCTGCAGAACGAGAACAACATGAGGAACAGCGGGAGTTAATATTGTTAGAAGAACAATTAGAGAGTCAACGAGATGCCGCCTCGGGCTCCAGTTCTGAAGTTTCCTACACAGATGATATGTGTCCTGTGTATGTAAAGACCCCAGAGGATGATGTGAAGTTGCAGCAACTCCTCTCATCTTCACATGTGTATGGAAGTGCCACTTCTATGCAGCGGGGACTCGCCGTGGCCGCATTTTCCCCACGGAAAGAACTCCCATTTGGATATGTACTCTACAGTGAAGATCCCACACTGCAGGAGGAGAAGAATGAGGATGAGAATTACAATAGTAATAATAGTAATAATAATAGCGTCCATCATGATAATAACAGCAGGGATGGGAGACGGCCTCCACAGTGTCTCTGGGTGATTGCAGATGGTGAGATCAGTATTACACAGCGTGGGGTGTTGATTGCCAAACACAAAAGTGGCGATGCCGTTGGGGAGGAATTATTATTGCAGAAGCGACTGGCCACACCGGCGACTACAGCCACTATCACCAGTCTCACCTGTTCTCTCTACACACTGGATCGAAAGACATTCCGTTGTCTTCTCATGCCGGCGTATCTGCGGGTTGTGCAGTCGCAGCGGCCGCTTCTCATCTCCACACCACTCGCCTCCCGACTCGGCCGGACGGCGTTGATGTTGTTGAGCAGTCGAGCCGCGGCCCGAATGTGGATGCCGGGGGAAGTGATATTGCCGCAGGGATCGGATGTGAGTTACGTCGAACTCGTGCTGGACGGCGTGGTGGAAGTAACACTTTGGCAGGATATGAATAGTGAGAGGGATCATCGTAATATAGACAGGGCGAAGAAAAAACAACAACAACAACAACAGCAGGGAAACAAAGAAGAAGAAGAAAAAGAAAAAGAAGAACAAGTGAGAGGACCACCAATGCGAATGGTTTCCACACTAACCACGGCAGATATCATTGGTGCATTGGAGTTACTTGAAAAATGCCGCCCGGCTGCTGCCTGTTATATCGCACGTTCACGTGTGCACACATTTCGAATTCCCGCCGCGTTTTTTGTTGATTGTTGTTTGCAATCCCCCGCCGTGTTGGAGTATTTAACGGAATTGCGGCAATCCAACCGCTATGCTCTTCAGTCTTCAGAGCCGCAGCTGCAGCAGAACCGGAGTAAAGTAAAAGAGCTGATGTTATAGAGTGTGTAAGAGAGAACGTTGTCTGTAAGCGGAGACTTGAGGTTTTTTTAATTTTTCTTTTTTTCTTTTCTTTCTTTCTTCCTTTTTTTCTTGCTCTTTCTTTCTATATTTGTCTGTTTGCGTGTTTGCTTGCGTTTTTAATTTTTTTTTTTTTTTTGCGTTTTGATGAGTGAAGAGAAAAAGATGATGACTGGAACTGAGGGAAATGGGGAAAGATTACAAAAGAGATATGTATAGAGTGGACACACCTTGTCTTTGCTTTCACGTATATATATATATATACACGTCTGGAAAAGTATAAAAAGGAAAGAAATATAAGAGGAACTGAATATATATCCTATATATATATATATATATATATATATGAACTGGGTTAATTGTTTCATACAGTCATGATCTTCTCTTTTCTATTTTCTATGGAATTAGGTGGTTCTATTATTTTCCTTCCACCCCATCTCTTACAGAGAAGGTAAGAGCACACACACGGAAGTGTGAGAGGAGAGCAGGAAGAAATATAGATAAAGAAAAAAGGGAAGGAAAATTAAATAAATTAAATAATTAAATAAATAATCTATCTATATATATATATATATATATATATATATATCTATATCTATATTAGATGTTTCGTGGAGTTACTATCTGTTGCCGTGTACGTGTGCTTTGTCTCACTGTAGTCCCAGACGGCGGGGCGATGACATTAGCGCTGAAGAAACTCGGTTACGTGCCGTACTCACTGCGATCCGTCTTTCAACACGGACACGCCAAACATCACCCCATCGTCTGGTCTACACTACTACATCATAATAGTAACCCATCAAAACAACTAGAGCCATCTACACAACAGAAAGAACAAGAAAAAGGAGAAAAAGAAAAAGAAGAAGAAGGACGTGTGGATATGCGACTCTTCAGTGACTACGATGCCATTGTTGGTCCTCCCGCATTAGTGCTGTACGATCGTCTCCTACGCGAATGCCCGGAATACACAAAAGTTATTCTCGTTACGCAAGAGGATAAGGCACAGTGGGTGCAGGAATATGAAACGCACGTACTGCCACTACTAAAGAAAACTCGTCGGCTTTCACGCCATCGCATTGCGGAGGCTTTTCACAATATGATTTCTAAAATGTTCCCACAGAATGGAGAAAAGAACATTTGGACAAAAAAAGGAACAACAGAAGAACGTGTAGAGGCACTAGAGGGATATGAAGCTATTGTGTGTAAACGTATACCAAAATCACGATTATTGGTTTATCGTTATGGAGATGGATGGGAGCCGTTGTGTGCCTTTCTGGAGAAGGAGGTGCCGGTGAATGAATTATTTCCATCTTATGATAGTGGTGTGCGGGTGATTGGGAATCTACAGGAGCGTATTGAACGTACAGAGAAGTTGACGTATTTGTTGGTGTTATTATTATGTGGAACTGTAGTGTATGTGTTTTATCCGGCGTTGGATCCACTGAGGAACTACGCCAGTGAGTTGTATCGTGATTACCAGACCGCGTACAGTAAGGCGTAAGAGAAGAAGAGTTCAAATAAATAATGTTAATGTGATTGATAGTGTGAGAAGACTATTACTCTATCGCTTGCTTTTCTGTACAGGCCTGTGTATATTGTTATTATTATTATTATTATTATTATTATTATTATTATTATTATTATTATTATTATTATTGAGGATGATTCTTATAATGAGAATCTTCTACTATCCATCATTGGTCATCTTTTCTATTTCCATTTTTTTTGACTCTGTTTTTTTGTCTATTTATGTTTGAATTTCTTTTTTTTTTTTTCTCACATCATTTTCTTTACTTTATTCTTCTTCTTCTACTGCTCTTTAATTAATAAACAAATAAACAACGAATAAGGAAAATAAGGTTTGCTCTTTTGCACATTTCCCTTGTTAGACTCCGTGAACAGCACTGGTGTGAAAGTAACAGGAGGTGAACAGAGAACGGAAGAAAAACACAAAAAAAAAACAATAACAAAAACAGTAGGAAACGAAAAAAGAACAAACGGGATAATCAGAGAAACAATACAGAAAAAGAACAAAAAAAAAAGGAAGGAATAAAAAGAACAAAAAAAAAGTGAAAGTCAAGTACCTTGAAGCAACACAGAAAGGCCAAGGAAAAGTACAAAAAAGAAAACAACAACAACAAAAAAAACAAAAAAGACAAAAACAAAAAAAAAGGAAGAAACAACACTAACAGAGAAAAGGAACACCGTAAAAGATAAAAAAAGAAGAAGAAAGGAGACAGGAACTTAGGAAAAGGCAATCTTTAGCTTTATTTCTGTCATCCTTTCCTTTTCTTTTTCTCTGTTTGTGTGTGTGTGTGAGTGAGTGTGTTGTTTCTCACTTTGGACTGCTACTCGGAACAGTGAAAACAAAAAAAATATAAAAAAAAAAGAAAAGGCAGAACTAGGCGCACAAGTGCCGAAAAAAAAGCAATCTACAAAGAAAGTAAAAGAGAAAGAGAGAGAGGGAGAGAGAGAGAGAGAGATAATACTTTTTTGTTTTTTGAGTTTATGCAAGGTCGTGGCGGTACTGTTCGGGGACAGGCGTTATTGCCTGTTCACGATAGCGAAGTGCAGGCTGGACTGCAATTATCATTACCATCGCCGATCTTATTGTATTACTTCGCACGTTTGAAAGAGTGTAAAATTCGCCACGAATTAACGCCGCGTGTCTTTAATGATATACTACACGATGAGGAGTTCTTTCGTGATATGAACGGGTTTTGTAGTAAAGGATTTGGAGACCTCCTAAAGGATGTTTCATGGAGGTGGTGGAGAGTGCATGCGCGGGATATATTACGACGTGGAGTTGACAGCAAGAATAGCAACAGTGATATCTATAGTAGTCCTGGTGATGATGATGGTAATGATAATAATGATGATAGTAAGAGTCATGCCGTTTCTGCTTCTGGTGTAGATGATAACGAAAATACTGGAAATGAAGAGGAAGAGACAAAGAAACCCTTACCTCTAGAAGAGGAAGGTGCGGAAGAACAGGATGATGATGATGATGATGATAATAGTAATAATAATGGGTATAATGATTTGCGGTCTGTTTTACTTTTGCTTTCGGTCTTCTGTGCACCCTACCGTGTTGTGAGGAGTGATGGTTGCCCAGCTGTAACGTGTACTGCCCGATTGATGTTATGCCGTGATCCATCTATTGTGTATCTTGGCCTTCTTGTGAACTTCACACAGTCGTATCATCCAGAGAAGATACTGGACGGTGCTGCCGTGATGCGTATTGTCGCCCACGGCTGGGAGTCCTCTCCTACATTTGAGGAAGTTGTTAAGTGTTGTCTGCGGGCCAGACAACGTCGTCGTTGTTGTCAACAACGCGAAACGAGTAGGGCAGTAACGTTGCAAGAGGAATGTGAATCGGATGCACAATTACTGCGATTACCGAATTTGGTAACAAATCCCATACAGATTATACCGGAGAATTTACTTCGGCCCAAACACCATAGAGGCAGTGATGCCCTGGATTGTATGGAGATTGGACAAGCCGTGCTGAACAGCATGGCAGAAGCCGCAGGAGATGCGGAAAAACTTCTTTGGTGGTCCCGCTGTCGACTGTTGTGTCTGCAGATGATGTCCCCACCGGATCGCACGGAAGTTCTCTCAGGCCCCGCCTGTGAGTTTTTCCGAAGTGTGTGGAATACCGAACGACTCTTTTCCACCATCTTGGATGATATAGACCAGGATGATGATGATGATGATGGTGCTACTATTGCTCATGCGAAGGCTAATGATAAGAATAATGATAAGAATGATGAGGAAGATGGTAATAATTGCAAATCCATTCATACCTGTGCTCGGCAGCAGACGACGCATAGTGAGGGAAAAGAAATGACCGTTCCAAAGGCAGCAACACTTGTAGGAACTATAGCCGATGTTGTGCGAGGATGGCACTTTGCCGTACGCTCTGGTGGAGCGCTTTATAATATTATTTCCAGTTATGCAGCGATAAACCCACTAGATACAATAAGCCGTGTGGTACCTTTTCACAGGAAATTTCAAGTTGGAAGTCATCGTTGCCTTGCGGATGAATGGCAGTATCGTCTTCTTATGGATTACCACAGTACCTATATCGCCGTATTTCCAGCAAGTACCCCTTCAAGCTCAGCATTACTTTCAGCGATGGTAGCCCAAATGACGGAGATGTTGGCATCTCAACCACACTATTGTCCAGCACTTGTTATGCGAAGTTTGACACTCACGCGAGATAACACCGCCGCCGCCGCATTGGCACTTAATCATGGAATTATACAAGCTGTTGTTACAGTTATGCGAACGTACATGAATGAAAAACGCCCTGATGAGGCTCCAAGAATAAAAGATAAAAACAACAATCACACTGGTGTAATAACGGAAGGTGTGGATGTGGATAATCATAGTATTGGAACGGGTGGGGATCGTGGTATGGGAGGACGTCGCTACGGCTGGTCTTATGAGGCCGTGAATGTATTACGATGGTGCTTTATAGTACTGGAACGCCTCACCACAGTATCTACACATGAATCTACAAACCCCATTGTTTTTCTACTTTCTCCACATGGAGAAGATGGGTATGAGTTGTGTCGACACATCTGTGAAAAGATCCTTTATCCTGGTGGTCATCCTGTATTGGTTGCGGCTGCCTTTCGTTTTCTTGCAGCCTGTATTCATCATAATGTTCGTGATGTGGTACCGGCACTATTGCAACGAGGTGTACTTAACATTATAGTGGAGATTGGAGAGGGACCTACTCTTTTAAAGAGATATTATCAAGGAGAAGTGTCCGCTGTTCAACAACAACAACAGCAACATATTTCTGCGCCGAGTAGCCCGGTAAGCACGGCGGAGAATTTAACATCAGAAGAACAGCAAACTCCATTATTACCATCTCGCAACAAAGGAAGCAGTACAGAGAATGAAACCAATACCTGGAGAGAGAATGAGGAAGGAGGTGCACAAGAACAGGATGAGAATGATAATAAGAACCTTCATGGAGGAGATCCCTCAGAATCCGTAGTATCTATTGACCCTATGACCTATTATGAACAGGCTATTCCAATAGTTAATATTTGCAGTGTTTTGCAGGCTTTTGCAGTACATAACAGTACACATGCTGAATTACAGAAACCAAACATAATGCGACATTTTATGTTAAGTCTTATTCTACCTTTTTCCTCTTCACCTCAGTCCACCTCTTCCTCACGTTCGGTTGGAACACAATCACTACATGTTACTACTCAAGCAGCATCATTAGCAGGTAAAGATATCCTTTCTTTGCTGCGAACACTACCTCAATTACAGGATAGTTTCTTTTCAGCTTTACAGGAGATATTAACATATGTTGTGGAAGCGGCACAACGTCCAAATCCTCCTGTAGAAGTTGCACTCTCTATTTGGAATATCTTTTCATTTCTCAGTGGAGCAGGGTTCCGACAATTCGCACAACGTGGTTCAAGTCGTCGTCAACGTCATCGTATTCCAGATGCTACGAATTCTGCCATTGATACATTGGTTCAAAAATTTCTTCGACTTAAGCGTCTCTTATCTAAATTACTTGCTGCATTCCTGCGATTACCTTGTCGAGCCGCTACTGCACCTTCTAATTGCAGTGTCCTCGCTTCATTTCTCTTGGAACTTCCCTCTGATATGTTGGATAGTGTCGCAGAGGAGATTATAAAGTATACTGAAGAATCGATTGAAATGGTTAAAAATGACAAACTAACAGATAGTCGTGCGGATATGCTATATCTCCTGACATGTGCTTTCTTTGTAAAATTTCAAAGCACCCCATCATGGGCAGTGATCTCAAAGTTCAGACGAGATTTGGCAAATGTCCTTTTTGATGTTTATGTCGCTATGGAAGTGGCGAAACATAAACGCAGTGGAATTTTGGAGACAGATGGAAATACAACAGAGAATAGAGGTACAGGGAGAGAACCAACCGCAAGTATGCTTGGTGCCGCCACTACGGTAGCCACAGCCGTTCCCACAAGTACATTGGCCGTGGAAGTTGGACGCGGTGCAAGTGAAACCCCCGTTTCCGATGCTGATTTTTCCTTTGATTGGTCCGTCCCATCCGGTGCGGGTCATTATAATGATTCGGCATTATTATCCGGAGAGGAGCGAGGCTCACTGGATGGGATTGAAACCCCAGTCGTCACCTACACATTTAGAACGGCGACCACCACCACAACAACTACAACGACGGCAACCATGACGAATAATGTCGCTGGCGGCACCGGAACAGGAGTGGCAGCAGCAACGGCAATAACAACAACGGCGGGCGGCACAAGTGGAGGAAACGGCGGAGAGGCCGCTGCCACTACGACCGCCCGGTCGGTTTCGGCTTCTGCGGCCCCTGTGGCTGGCAGTGTGGGTGGAGAGGCCGTAGGGGCGGTGGAGCGGCTGCGGATGTACATTGGCGGTTTACTTCTCCCGCCGCCGGACCGCACCCGCTCGACATCTCCATCCGCCCCGCCGCACTACAATCGCGCCATCTTGGCATCTGGACAACATCCCTTGTTGCCCGTCACGATGGCACATGTCCTGCGGGGGGCGGCAAAGGTGCTGTTAAAGATCAGAAAAACGATCAGAGCAGCAATTCAGCAGAAAGGGATGGAAATGATGCAGCAGAATCCGGAATGCTGTGCGGATCAGGCAATGCTAAAAGATCTCTCTCACAAGATTGCTCTAGATGCGCTAAACATATATCAACTAAAGGAAGTTGAGACAAGAATGAAATCCTCTGAGGTAATTCTTTCCTTACCTTGGCGTGGTGTTTCAAGCAGTGATAATAACTTCGCACCATATGTTACCAGTATTGTTGTATCTCTAAATTTCATTACAAAGAGTATTCTACCTCTACAAGAAGACTCATCATCATCATCATCATCATCAGGAGCAGCTGCAGCTGCAGCTGCACCAGCAACAACAGCAACAACATTCTCAGTATCCGTTCCGGGAATAAGTGCTGCTGTACCATTACCACATCCTACTACTTCCACAGAAGGTGGTGTGGATAATATTTGTAGAGGTAGTACTGATAATAGTACTAATCCCAATGCGGTTACTACTGCTTCTTCTTCTTCATCATCATCATCACCTTCTACTACTACTACTTCTTCTTCTTCTACTTCAACTACTAATACTAATACTACTGCTGAAGCCTCCATTAAACTTTCGGTACTTGTTAACTCAATGACGCATATACTTGAGGTGTTGCTGAAAGTCTCACCAGAGCGAGGCACTGCACGACGACAATGGATGTTGCCACTCCTCTACTTTGTGCATTTCACCTGGCCATCTCACGGTCTTGCGTTTACGCCGGCCATGACACTTGCGATTCTCGCAAGACTCTTTGACTTCAACACATCTCTCTTTTTAATGAATGCAGACCAAGTTGCCATGAACGCACTTTCAGAGATCGACAATGATAATGAAAATGACGATGACGATGACAACACTAACAGGAACACTAACACCAATGATAATGACAGTGTTATGGATTTTATACCAAGCAGATCATACATGGACGAAGATGAAGGTGATGATTCTCTACTTCGCATGAGAAGCATATTAAATGCTATGGTTACCAATATGTTTCCACGCCCCGCTGTTTCTGGAACCCTTTACTTAGAACAACGACTACACCGGCAAGATGAAGACCATCACCGGCGACGACGACAACAACGACAAGATGAAGAGCAACAACGGCGACATCAACATCAACATCATCAACAACAACAACAACAGGAACAAGAACAAGATCCTCAAGATGAAGACCAACAGCAGCAGCGACAACAACAACAACAACAACAGAGTGCTGCAGGAACAGCCTTATTGGTGGAACGCGTCACTCAATGGGTACTTGATGTTGCCGCCATTCAACGCTTTGCAGAGGGTGTTACAGAGGAAGAACGAGTACAGTTACGGCGGCTTTGCTGTAGAGTTTGTTGGGTTTACTACGCAGATGCATTCTCTGGTATGCATGGGGCTACACTTGTGGAGAATGAGCGGATGCGACATTCATCTATACTCGAGCGGATTATCCGTCTTATCCTCACGGACCCTAGTCGTTACTACACATTACTGGAGATTCTAGCTGTACTTCTATCCCAGGAGAAATCCGTTATGCAGCGATCGACATTAGTTTCACAAACTCAACTTCCTCGTGCTATATTTGACTGTATAACAGCAGAGATTCAGCGAGTTTCAACTGAAGCTGTATCAGATCCTTTAAAACAGCAAGAACAAAAACGACATTGTAAAGCTCTCTATGGGCAACTATTTACTTTTCTCTCTGCATGTTCTGCGGATGCCCTTGCAGAGAAAGGAATGCGACCATGTGCATATTACCATGGAAGTTCCTTTAGTTTTTGCTGGATGGGTCACCTTTGTCGTCAACCACACTATGATGATGGAATTACTCTGAGAACACGTCAAAAACCAGTAGATATGGGAGATGAACTACAACGTATTGTGGAACTTTTAACAGAATTTGGATATCCAAGCTCATCTGAGAAGAATGAAGAAACTGTAGATGAGAATGAGGAGAAATCTACGGAAAAATTATTAGATGCGTCACATCCAGGTGAGAGCAGTACTACTACTACTACTACTACTACTACTACTAATGATAATAATAATAACAATACTCAGACTCCAATGACTACAGATCCTCTCAGCAGACGTCACGATGATAATGATGAGGAAAAGTCTTCCGTACGATGTGTTATTTCTGGAACTACTGCAGAGGTAAAACTCAGTATATCTTCCCTTCTTGGGGGAACATCCTTATTACCTAAGGATCTTATATCTTTGTGTGCAGAATTGGTAATGGACTATTTAGCCAATGATGATATTGCCATGGAAGAAGACCATTTAAAACAGCAAGAACAAGAACAAGAACAATATCAAGAGGAAGAAAGTGGACGTGACGGGAATATTAAACACCAGAATAACAATAAAGAAAAACTTAATGAGGAAATTGTTCTGGAAACACCTGTTACACATATAGCTATATTATTTCTTTCGAAACTGTTAGAAACAGCAGACACTTCATTGGTTTCTCACCTTTACCACTTGAATGACACGACGAAAAAAGGATTCGTCGTGCGGGCTATTTCTCGTTTACTCCGTAATGATGTAGCCACTTCAAGTGCTCGTCTGCCTGTATTGAAGTCTCTCATAGATTGGCCAGAACACACAGAATGGGTGGTGTACTCCGCAATCGTAAATGCCGTGCAGAATCAAATGCGAGCTGGAGCCACATATACTTTACGAGAAAAAGATGTTCAGGAACTTTGTGCTCAACACGCCAGTAATAATCCACGAAGAGGTCATGATCATCATATGCGTAATATTTCAGAAGTTCATCGACAATCCATACCATTAAATGATTTTGTAACGGCTATTCGTTCTATTATTGACAAACAACCAAAGACATTTTGTACGGTATTTAATAATTCATGTGTTGTACATATTCTTGACAGTGATGGTAAAAATGGTGAATTAGCAAGATCTGATCATATCAAGACGGCTGTGTGGGTGGCACCACGCAAACCACCACGAACAGCTGCGATGTGTAATTCCCTTACTCTACATCGTTCTGTAGTGGGACAAATGTTTGATATGCTTTTACAGCGTCTTGCCTCCAAGACGTTGTTGCCAAGTGCCGTCTCTACAGTGCTCAATCACATTACAACTTTACCTTTCATTGCCTCTATGGTGACAGCGTATAGTGTGAATATGCCACTACCAGAAAGTATGCAGAACATCTTTGAACAACATAAAACGGTAGATGGAGAACACATGCGACAACAACAACAACAACAACAAGAATTACATTCTGGTGATCCTTTAGTTTCACAAAAACATACTCTCTTCCTTACACCATTCCTTGCGGTAGTGATGTTTATGGATGGATCACAGCTAGAACCACTTGAACAGTTCTTCTCCAATGTCGCACAAAAGGCGCCTTCAGCGTTAGCACAGATGTTACTGAATGTACTTGGGGTAATGCTAGATGATATACAATCCCATAAAAATATTGAGAATGAGGAGGAAGAGGGTAATGGAGAAGAAGAAGAAGAAAAGGAAGAGGGAAAACAAAAGAAGAATGAAAAGAATGACCCAGCAGCAATGGGACCCTCACCAAGACGGATGGCCTGCAATCTTCTTCATGTTTGGCGCCTACTACTTGTGGCCGCATCAAGTTCACTTGTTTGGCGTTTCTGTGATGAACTTTATAAGCGCGGGGCACTTGAAGTACTGTACCGTATGGTCCGCCTTCAGTGCTGCACCACAGAGCGGGACGCAGCTGCACTTCTTCTGGTCATTCGTCGTGTATTGTTAACGTACAGCAATAGTAACAGTAAAAATAACAGGAATAATGCCACTCACGTAGAAGCTCGTAGTGAGCAAGAGGGAAATAACAACAATACCAACAGCAGCAACAATAACAGTAATAACAACCGTAATAACAGCAGAAGCAGTAGCGGCACTCACCGCAGTAGTGGAAGTGGGAGCATAGTGGTCCCACAGCAATTCATACTGCCGACAGCGGAGGAGTACACTGCACTTTTGCCCGAGAACAGTCATGAAACCCCATCTGCACAACAACAACCAAACCAAGAACAAGAAGAACACGAGCAGCACTCTGCTGGTGGAGATGAGTCATTTTACTTAAATGATCTTGTCAGTGGTAATGATCAGCGTGAGAGGAGTGGGGAAACTAATGATAGGTCACGCATTAATAGATTGACAGAATCTGTAAGAAATGTTGTTTTGGGCCTTTCTGGGTTACTCCCTCCTGGTGGTGGTGGTCTTTTATTGTATGAAACTCACGAGGACACCGATAATGACTTCACTACCCACGCTGAACACTACGATGTGGGAGAGGAAGACTTGGGTGATGATGATGATGATGACGAAGACGATGATGATGAAGACGGCGACGATGACGAAAATGATGATGATGATGTTGATGAAAATGATGATGATGATGATGATGATGAAGATGATGATGATGAAAATGATGATGCATTGCATACTCCAGTTACCCCAGCTCTCACACCGTTTCGAGAATATGGGATTTACGGACCTGATGGGTCCCTTATGGGCCTTCAAGGTGTAGATGGTGAGGGCATGAGAGATAATGAAGATCAAGAGGAAGATGAAGAAAATGAAGATGATCTAGTGGAAGAGGAAGAGGAAGATGAGGAAGAGGAGGATACGGAATACGAAGAGTTAGTACCCTACATGGTGGAACACTCTCGATTGTTGCGTGATGCAGGACACGATGAATCCTTTCCATTATCAAGTGCAGAGTTTGTTGCCATGATGGAAGGTGATCATTCAGAAGGAGTTATCCCACGTTCACTATTACTTGAGATGGAACGGTGGGATCCACAAGGTATAGGAATTGTACGTCCTGCTGGAAACGCCTACAACAGTTGGTCCTTTTACACTAACAGTGGAACTACTGGTGATATTGGGGAGATTGGGGAGATTGGCGATAATGGCGCCTCTTTATATGAGTTCTTCAGACATCACCGCTTCACTATGGCAGAGCGTGATCCTTATCAATACCCTACTGAACATGGTGGTCATCTCGCACGGCTTGTGAATGTATGCGAGGCTATTAATGCAGAAGTGGAGCGGCAGTGGAATACACTTCACGTATTTGAACCTTTACCACCTCAACTACGTGCAACGGATGAGGTATCTCCAGTTGTCCCTAATATAGAACCACCCCCAACGAACAACCCCAACCCCAATAATAATAGTAATAATAACCTTAGTAGTGATGCTACAGCTAACAGAGGCAATCCTGCATCAAATTCCCCATTAGAATTGGGTAATGATATTGCCTCCTTAAACACATGCAACGATACAAACAGGAGTGATGTTGAGGAAGCTGACACAGGAAACAACAATGTAAATCGTTGCAGTACTTCTACAGGGGAAGAAACTGCGCCTCAATTGACGTCATCAGGCAATGTTACTACAAATGCAGAACAAAGTTCTTCTTCTGCTGTTGCAGCAAGAGGTGAAGAATCTACTACTGTGGTTGGCAATACATCTTCTGATAGAGAAGCCACCGGAGAACCACCAGTAGAGCAACAACCCTGGTTTAGCGTTATTCAGCCACACTTTCTTCTTGAATTACCAGAACCACTCCGCCGTGAGATTTTATTTGAACACATGAACGTATTACTACACGATCGTGAACACGAGGTGAATGGACGCCGTACACGTATTTTCACCGGCTTCCTCTCCGAATTATCACCAAGCGTGCAGCAAGAGGCTATAGAAGTGGAGCAACGCTGGCGACGCGTCACAGGCGCCGACGGAGATGGAAGTGACTCACAGAACACAAATGCCACAGATGTATTAACAGATGTACTCGCCGTCGTTACACCGGATGTACGGCGGGATATTCTACTTACTTGTGATATGCGACACCTTGAGGGAAATCCCCAACTCCATGCAGAAGCTAGTGTACTGCGTGGACTGCAGACACTGATGCCACGTGCTGGAGAGGAAGGAATGCGTAGACATAATACTATGATGGAAGCGGGTAATATACCACTACAGGATAATAGTGATTTAGAAGCACTTTTAACACCTACGACTACTGAAATTCCTCCTGCCATGGAGGATATAAACGCTTCGCAGATGCCGCGTCTCCCTACAATTTCAAGAGGAACAGAACCACACAGTTTACTTTCAAGCATTCAACGACAACTACGGGAAAGAAGTGTTGGACGTGGTCAACGGACAACAGGAAACGATATACAACGAGAGGGTGGCGGTATAGGTATGAGGAGTCGTGGTGAGGATAGTAATATCAACCGAGTTGCTGATATTGGGATTGGTCGTCGCCCTGCACGTCCACCTCGCGGGAATAATCGTCCAACGGAATTACAACTAATGTTATCTATTCGTGCCCAACGTGAACGTATTCCACGACATGGGAGATCTGGTACTCCTCCGAATAGAGAAAAAGGACCGGCAGGTCTTCAAGCGGCGGTGCCACCCGTACCGGCAGATGTAATGAAACAGTTAGTGGAACTTATTTGCTTAACAAAAGGTGGACCAGTTCCATTGGAGCGACACAGTACAATGACATCTAATTTATCTGTTACTCTGCAACTAGTTTCATTGCTTTCCACGGTGTGTGTAAATACTACAGTGGCGACAAAGGCTTTAAAAGATCTTCTTGATGTGGTACTAGAAGGACCATCATACTCTGCCGCCATTGCGGCAATGAAAGAGGAATCTGGAAATTCTTTAACTGGATTAAATGGGAAAGAAGAGCGTATTCGTAGCCGTATTGCTGATCAAGTACTTATTACGATTCTAAAGCTTGTTGGTCGTTGTCGTGCTGCAGGTATGAGTTTTATTAGACTTCCAGATGGTGCCGATGAGGGTGGTCCAGTGAAGTCTCTGGATGAGGGTTATGATGAGAGAGAGTTAAAGGCTATGCAAATTGCTCTCTTTCGACGACTTGTAGAAGTTGTCTTGCGTTTCCCATCATTACATGTGGTATCCACTTTCACATTCCTCATGAAAGAACTAAACACAAAACTACGTCTATTGGAGGAAGGATTCACACGAACACAACACCCAACAGGAGAGGTTGGAAATATCTCCGATACTTCTATTCGACATCCACGACATGAGCATACACTCTCTTGGGAACCTGTCATGCATCCCTCGTATGCAGATTCTAACACTACCTGTGCTGTCTGTTATACCAGAATGTGCCCTAGTAACTCTCTCTTTGAATGTAGAAGATGTCGTTTTCTTCTTTGCCCAGCATGTAGCCGTGTGATGTTAAGTGCGGAAGAGGAAATGCAACGGGCACGTCGTTGGGGTTACGCCCTTGTAACTTCTCAAGGGACGCTAGATACGGTATTGCAATTGCTGCGTCATCCAAAGTGTACAGAAGAGATGGCACAGGAGACCGTTGGGTTTTTACGACTTGGTATTAAAGAAAGTGCTCGGCGTGATTCTACAACTTTAGTGGGTGAAGACCATAGTCCCATAGCGATTGTGGAGCGAGTTATTATTGAACTAGCTACAGAGATCACTGCTGGAATACACTCATGTATTAAAGCATTCCGTAGTGCTTTTCCACCTAGAGTATCTTCCTCCTCTTCTTCCTCTTTATCAGATGCTATTGTGCAATCGGAGAGTCATCATGCTACGGAAGAAAAGGGAAAACGATGTGATGATAATGTAAGTAGTGGTAATGGTAATAATAATAATAATAATAATAATAATAATAATAATAATAATAATAATAGTAGTAGTAGTGGAACTGGTGATATGATGAATAGAATGTGGAAGGTACAAGAAGCGAATGTTGCTCTTTCTTATATGAATTTAAATACCAGAGATGACAAATTGGATACATTATTTGTTCCTTACGCGGATGTACATCGTCCGGAACCACGTGAACTTTCTCTTATGTGGCATGCTTCTCAGATGTATCTTGCGGAAATTGCTTTTATTATGCAACACTTACAGAGTAGCACTTCTGTGATGTTACCACAAGCGGTTCTTCTTCTTTTATCTGGATTCTGTCAATTTCACATGGCAGAACACAGACGATCGGGATGCTCTGCTAGTGTTGGAATGGATAGTGTCAGTAGTCTTACAGTGGAAAAGACAGAAACGGAACGTTTTATGCTGGACACTACACATACACCATCAAGTGTTTCCGATGCAGCTGATAGGGCCCTTAAACGTGAACAACGTAGTCAGCAAAATCAAGGAAATCAAAATCATGATTATAATCATGATGCTCATCATACATCTGTTCCTTCTCTACCGTTTTCTCGACGTTCCCATCGATACTCACAATTGGAAATTGGTAGTGGAAGTGGCAGTGCTCGTGGGGTTCCTTTGAATGACTCTATGCGAGAAGAGACGATTGCCATTCCACGTGTTGTGAGACAATTTGTAGAACGCAACCGATTAACCATTAATGCCCTTATTCAATATGATCCACAACTCTTAAAAGATACTTTTGCCTTTTTAAAATCAGAACCTGGTTTTATTGATTTTAATATTCGTTTACAAGAGTTCCAACGTCATATTAGCTATACCACACATGGTTCTCGTATTGCTCTTAACATCAGTCGTGATCAGTGTCTACGTGATAGTTTCTCTCAACTATCCAAATTAAAGAGTTTTCACGGTCAGTTGAATGTACGTTTCCGTGGAGAAGAGGGTGCAGATGCGGGAGGACTCACACGGGAATGGTTCCAACTCCTCGCAGAGGAAATGGTGAATGACAACTACGCCCTCTTCATTCACTCACGCGAAGGAATGACATACCAACCAAATCCCTTCTCAGATGTGAATCCCAATCATCTGCAGTATTTTAACTTTGCGGGTACAGTGGTGGGAATGGCGGTGGCTCACGGTGTGCCGATTGATGTACACTTCACTCGAGCCGTCTATCGACACATGACGGGTGTACAACCCATCTTTCGTGATCTTGAGAGTGTGGACCCGGAATTGTATGAAAATCTTAATTGGCTTCTACGCAATGATGTCAGTGATCTTGGTCTCTTCTTTACTGTTAGCTGTGAACGCTTTGGGGTGGTGCAGGAAACCGAACTTCTACCGAATGGGGCTCACGTCGCGGTGACGAATGCAAACAAATCTCAATATGTTCGACTCCGCTGTGAGTTCCACATGACTCAACAGATTGAACAACAAATGGTGGAGTTTCTTAAAGGTTTCTATAATGTTATCCCACGTAAAGAAATCCACAACTTCACTGCCCAGGAGTTGGAACTCGTTATTTGTGGAATGCCGGATATTGATGTGGAGGATCTCCGTGGACACACCGTGTATGAAGGCTACACCTCCACTTCTCCACAAATCCGTTGGTTCTGGGAAGTTGTCGCCTCCATGACGAAAGAAGATCGGGCGAATCTCCTGCAGTTTGCCACTGGCGCCTCTAAAGTCCCACACGGCGGCTTCAGCAATTTGGAATCCGCGAGTGGATCACCGCAGCGATTCACAATTACAAAGTGGGGAGACAGTACAGATCTGCTTCCACAGGCACACACCTGTTTTAATAAGATTGACTTGCCAGAGTACCCAAGCAGTGAGGAACTGCGGAAGAAGTTGATGCTTGCGATTACATTCGGCAGCAGGGGATTTGCGATGCTGTAATTAATGGAGAGGAATTGGAAGAGATCGGAGGAAAAAAAAAAAGAAATTAAAAAAAAGGAAAGAAGATTCTAAGGATATCATGAAGGTATATATATATATA